ATTGCGGTCTAGATTAAACGAAGATTGTGTTCAACTTTTTTTATTTGAGAATGATATGTATGTATAGATAGTTTAATAGTTACTTCGTTGGTCTAACGTATAATTAGAATCAAATTCTTAATTACGATATATAATTTGTGGTAAAGATCAGCTAAAGTAGATTATGTAATTTCAGTAACCATCAGAGTTAGACAGATGCATTTGACAATATAAAAGAATAAAATGACGTGTCATCTGCATTTTTAAAGAGAACGACATATCATTATTTTGAAGTTGAAAATCTAGAGGGCGATATTTCGGTCGAGTTCCGTTTTGCATTGGAATTCACATCTGCGTTCCAACATTTTTAATCTATATCAGATATCATCAACTGGAGTTCCTATCGAAGCGCACAGAAAAGTAAAATATATATTTAAAACAACTTTTACGGTTTAAACTCGCTTTTTTTTATTATCATTAAATTATTTTCAATGTTTCAAATACTTTACAGTTTCCGTGGTCACGGACGACATTATGATTTCATAACTTAGATTTACGACTCGCAAAAACCGAAAAATATAATATATATAATAAATAATACTTAGAATACCTAACCTTACCGGAATCTTTTCGGCTACCATGACAGAAAAACTGTTTTAGATGACAACTTTTTTTTGCCCTTACATATTCGCTGGTGGCCTAAGGGGCTATTCCAGCTTCGCCCAGACGGGTAGGTGAGCTCACAGGCTCAACTTGAGAGAATTTGCTGACACTAATCCTAGCAAGAGCAGTTATTCGCTGAATCTTTTAATTTAATCTTATTAATCTCTCTTAAATAGTTTTTTAATTTTAAAAATTATAATTTGCGTAATTACTGGTGGTGGGACCTCTTGTGAGTCCGCGCGGGTGGGCACCACCACCCTGCCTATTTCTGCCGTGAAGGAATAATGCGTTTCGGTTTGAAGGGTGGGGCAGCCGTTGTAACTATACTGAGACCTTAGAACTTATATCTAAAGGTGGGTGGCGCATTTACGCTGTGGATGTCTATGGGATCCAGTAACCACTTAACACCAGGTGGGCTGTGAGTTCGTCCACGCATCTAAGCAATAAAAAAAAATCTACCACCGGATCGGAATCGCAGCCCACTGAGAAAATCCAGCGAGAAACACAGTGAGAGATGACAACTGAAAGTCAGAGTCAACACCGGTAGACGCAAATGTTATTGAGGGTAATCTAAGAAAAAGGATTTTCAACTTTAATTCCTCTAACTTCGTAGTGGTACTTAACAATCGATCCCAGTAAAATATAATCTGTACAACGCATTACTCTTGTATTATAAGCCTTCCAGACGTGACGTGCACTCCCTGGTACTGTAATAATAAGTAAATGATATGCCTTACAATTTTATCTTAAGAGGCAGTCACAGAGGTCGTAAAAATGCTACGAGTTCAGGATCAGTGTCCTTGAATAAGAATGAAGTAAGTAGAAGCTTATTTTAAATTCTAATAAGTGTAGGCAAAAAAATTAGAGACTATTGATATCACAACGAAAACGCCGCCATATTGACTTTTTTTTATCCAGAACCATTCAGACAAAGAGCAACGAATGCTTACCTGAAGTGGGAATCGAAACCACGACCCTCAAATCCGAACACATAGCTGCTTCACAGCAAAAAAGGCAGTATTGCAATAAATACTCGAGCGGCTGTGTAAGTAGACTATTTAAAGATTTAAAAAACCAAAGAGCATAAAACGACAAAAAAGGCTAAATAAAAATATAAACGCAAACCCATTCCATAAAAAACTATTAGTCGTAGCAACGGCTAAGCCGCTCAGTTCAGTTTTTTTTTTATAATTAAAAAATAACGCGTCTGCGTTTAAAAGAATTTAATAGGCTATAAATGCTTGACAAAAATCAAATTAACGATTCTCTAACCCAGCGATTCCCGATCCAGACACGCGGGGCTCGATTGGCGTTGCGCGACAATAAAACATGTTTAATCCTGGAAATAAGGAGATAAAACAGTCAAGTTGTATAAACATTATTAAAATGTATCATATCTACAACGCGTAGTTTAAAACGAACGTTATAATTCACATATTACTGGGGGTAGGACCTCTTGTAAGTCCGCACGGGTAGATACCACCACCCTGCCTATTTCTGCCGGGAAGCAGTAATGCGTTTCGGTTTGAAGGGTGAGGCAGCCGTTGTAACTATACTGAGACCTTATCATACTCATATCTCATATCTTAAGGTGGGTGGCGGCATTTACGTTGTAGATGTTTATGGGCTCCAGTAAAACTTAACACCAGGTGGGCTGTGAGATCGTCCACTCATCTAAGCAATATTTTTTTTTTACCTAAAACCGACTGAACTATAGACCTTAAGAGAACCGGAAACATTTTTAGGAGCGGGTGTACAGTTATCTATAGTTATCACGGGAGAAGCTAGTTATAATTAATGAGAAGTTTCATTAAGATGAACGAAAAAAGGTTGGGAAGCACTAAGGATACATTGTGGTCAGGCATTTATAGGTAAGTACATACCTGAAGTCATTTCCTTCTTACCATCGCACGCCGACCACCGAACTCCCTAAGTTTTTACGGAATAAACTACGGGCTCTTACATTGGTAATATTGTTTATCAGTTACATCCTTTGGCTTCGAAAGCTTCTCAAAAATCGACGTAGAATGGAGTGTTTAGGGTTGGTACCACTATTATTCTTACATTTACGTTCTTGTACTTATTACAATAGGCACAAGAAACTCACCAAGAGGCATGAGCTTGCATAACTATCTATGCAATTTAAATAAATAAAAACGTGAAAGACTTGCACGGATCTATTTGTACTAATGTAGCAAACAATTTAACGAAGCTCACACGAGACGCGGATGTGAGCACGGCTTTACGCTCGCGGTAAGACCATAAAAACAACGTGCACAATCCTGGATTTACGACGGAATCCGCGCGATAAGGAGTAGCGTTACTGCGTACTTTGCCCGTGATGAGATTAAACCTCGAATATACCTTAGGTTTTCGGGCACAAATTTTCATTTAGGGCACCCCATTAACAATAACTTTTCTGACGATAAAAATATATAAAAATGAAGATATATTTCTGTCATGTTATATAGGATTTTTGTCCGCATTTAAGATTTCCTATAAAAGCACTTTGAAAACACAGTTATTTGTAATTTTACAATAAATCCGTTATCTTAATTAGGGAACGTACCCATATTACGTGACCAATTTTTTTTAGTTTTTTCGACCTCTCCCTCCCCTCGGTGATCACTCGTAGTATATGCCAAGACCCCCCTCTCCCCCTTTAGTTTTCACGTAATAATTCATAATTATGATTTTTAGTCATTTCACACGCAAAAATTGAAAAAATAATAATAATTTGGTTCATACTCGTCTTTATTGCATAAGACTGCATACACACTTAAATTACTAGTGAATTATGTAGTGTGAGTTTACAAAGCGCTAAGTAATGCGCGCTATATTCGAATATAGGTCGAAAAAATACGAGATTTCTCTGACTAAAATCGACTACGTGACAAAAACCTGAGCCACCCCCCCGCTCCTGTGACTGACCGTAGTATTTTAAAGACTCCGCTTCCCCCCCTAAACGGCTCACGTAGTATGGGTACGTTTCCTTACATTATTTCTTTAAAAAATAATATTAATAAATCCTTAAAGATAACTCCGTGCATAAAAAAGTCAATAAATAAGTATGCTAACATGCGAAGGAATACACGTGAATAGAATCCTGATTGTATTGTAAAACGGTATGATTATTATGAAATTAAAGAACCAACCATCTTAGAACTTATATCTCAAGGTGGGTGGCGCATTTACGTTGTAGACGTCTATGGGCCTCAGTAACCACTTAGCACCAGGTGGGCTGTGAGCTCGTCCACCCATCTAAGCAATAAAAAATAAATAAATAAAAACAATTTCAGTTGTATAACATTCTATTTCTAAAGGCAATACATTTCTTAATTCCGTTAGACGATATAAATAATTGTTGACTCTAGAAATTGCACACAATGCTACTCTAAATACTGGTAATATTTGAGCGTTCCGCTTGAAGAGTTTTTGGAATGTAACAACAAAAGGAAAATCTTCCACCGAATTCGATTGCTAAGTGGACCGATGTTCCGAAAATTATTGAACAGAACTTGTAAATAAACTTGTAAAAAGACTGAAATAAATAAATAAATAATAAATATTCAAGCTTATCAATGTATCAAATGTCAAATATATTGTGTTCTATGATAGGTGCCCGCTACAGTTTATTATTGCAGTTACAGTTACAGTTTATTATTATACAAGTACTATAAAGTAATACAGTGGAGACAAAGCCTTACCTTATCTATCTATTATAGTCTGTATACCGACAATAACTTTCTTGTGGCGTTTAATCCATTGCAATTAGTATTCAATTCAAAAAATTAAAAAAAGCAATCTATAACGGACAGAAATAAACACAGGATCAAGCCATATTTGTTTGACTGTTTGTATTTAGGTTAAACTTAGAGCGAAGTAAGTTGAACTATGACATCACTGTTCACATCTCTTATACGAATCCAATACTCTCTATATGCCCCATCAAATATTTTAAAAAGTTACATTTTTTTATTTTATTGTCGCTCTCAATTTATCGCAATACATGTGTCTTATTTAATTGTATATTTCATTTCATTTTTGTTTAAAACACGGTCTCAATTAACTATCAAATTGAAGTCTTCTTTTCTCCACCTTATCCCACTAGGTGGGGTCGGCACAGCGATATTTTCTATTCCATTCACTTCTATCAGCCGTCATCTCAACACTCAATCCTCTCTCTCTCATATCGTCATTCACACACTCTATCTACGTATTCTTCGGTCGACCTCTTCCTCCTCTACCTTGCACTACCATTTCCATACATCTCCTAGTCACATCGAATTTAAGTAATTTTCTTTAAAAAAAACGTTTCACAAAAACAATCAGGTCATGAAAATGTGCATGATGCTTACTGTAAATTTGCTCACCATTGCCCGCCCGGGGCGTTGGGAGGGCGGGCGCTATCAGCGCTAGAAGCGCGACCGCCCACCACCATGTCATCACAACCACACCTGGAAACAATAAGATGAGAGGGCAATTAGCGTTTATTCATCATCAAGAGAATTGGACTGGACTTGGAACTGGTGGTAGGACCTCTTGTGATTCACTGGTGCTAGGACCTCTGGTGAATCCGCACGGGTAGGTACCACCGCCCTGCCTATTTCTGCCGTGAAGCAGTTATGCGTTTCGGTTTGAAGGGCGGGGCAGCCGTTGTAACTATACTGAGATCTTAGAACTTATATCTCAAGGTGGGTGGAGCATTTACGTTGTAGATGTCTATGGGCTTCAGTAACACTTAACACCAGGTGGGCTGTGAGCTCGTGCACCCATCTAACAAATAAAATAAAAATTATGTAGAAAACTTATGGATCAAAAGAAAAGGCAAAATAAAGAAAATAGTCATTTATAGTTTAAAATAATTACTTAGTTATTTGGCTTGTGATTGCAGACAAATTTTAAGAAATTTTCATTAGTTTAAAATTAATTGTGGCTCAATCGTCCATGCTAAAGGAAGAAAAGACGAACAGCGAATTACGGAGATTTTCTTTTCTGAATTTGTGAATTACTCGATAACTAAAAGAACATTATCTTTTATGAAATCGACAGTGAAAATACCTTTAAAATAACGTAGTAATTGAATTTTTGACGATAAAGACATCATAAACAGTCTACATTCGTTTTTATTACATATTTTATTACATATTACCCATATTGGTACAAAATAAATCATTACTCATTCTTCAGTGTCGTATAATATTTTGCTTGTAATTTTTATTGCGTCAAAATGCTAACAAGATGGAAATCTGAAATTCTTTTGAAACAGAATTACGATCAAAGGCGGCTTGCTGTGAAACGTTGAACTTTTAGCTGAGCGACGTGCAATTCGTTCCACCGAATTGAATATTTTCAAATAAATTTCCACGTTGGAAGCCTCGGAGCGGTCGGTACCTGAAAATTCTGTGAAAACTTTTCCGAGAATTTCCGCGCGTCGACATTTACGATTGAAAAGCATTCGCAGTGTCGAAGAGCGGATTTTAAAGTTGGAAATAACGTATAGAGGATTTTCACTTGAAGCTTCTCTTAGAATCTGCAGTTTGTTTTACTGAAATATTTTTAAGTCTACGAAACATATTTTTTTCCCTACCTATACTGATAGCCTTGAGGGGCTATTTCAGCTTCGCCCTAACGTGTGTAGGTGAGCTCACGGGGCACAAACCGGAGTGTTGCTAACACTGACCCTAGGAAGAGCAGTGCTTCGCAGAATCTACCACCGGATCGGAAAGGCAACCCACTGGGAAGATTACGAAACAAAAATAATTCGTACTCCTTTTATATGGATATACATTTAAATCCCACGTTTTCTTGACGCAATATTAACAAGCCCTACGTAGACTGTGAAATTTCCATAAACCTATCCGTTACCTGCCCTCTTACTCTATCAAATACATCACAACGCAAATGGAGCTATCTTGAGGCTGAAGATCTATTATAATAGCGGTGTTCACCCGGTCACTGCTTTATACTAGGTAGACCGAGAAGCTCATAAACAGATCTAAGCAGAACTATTGAAACTAGTACGCCAGGTTTACAAGACAAATTCTAAAAAAATTCTCGTCATTAATTAATGCCTCTAATGAATACCAAGCAAAATACGCAATAAGGACACATGTTACAATTATCGACCCCAATTGAACATCAAGTGAAAAACGCTTAATAAAAAAAAGTACAAATGTAAAACTGAGTGATCTTCCAAATTATCAAAGAAGTTCGTTTAAAGAATTTTAATCGGAATTTAATTTACGTCAATTTTATGAGAGTGTAATAATAAAAAGCACGAATAATTCGAATGGTCTAAGCCGAGAGCCCGATATTTTTACTAACCTACATTTGATAAGGCAGGCCGTTAAATAAGTCTCGATAAAGGCGAGAAAGCACTCGCGCTTATAAATATTTACGATTGTGCGGCAATAAATTACGAGCCCATATTGTACAGTTATGATGAAGTTGTGTTTGTAACAAAATGATTTTAAATAAAGATACGCTATGATATGCCGAAAAATTCACTCAGGGTAAAACGATTTTCCTCTATTATTATTATTATTATGCAAATTTGAATCTGGAAATGATAAAATAAAGAGGACACGTGAAAATTTTGCGTGGCGTACCGTAATCCCACTTATGCTATTTTAAGACGAAAATCAATCGAAACCACAGAAATAAATTATTTCTGTGATCGAAACTGATTTGACATAGGCCTATTTCTGCCGTGAGGCAGTAATGCGTTTCGGTTTGAAGGGAGGGGCAGCCGTTGTAACTATACTGAGACCTTAGAACTCATATAACAAGGTGGGTGGCGGCATTAACGTTGTAGACGTCTATGGGCTCCGGTAACCACTTAACACCAGGTGGGCTGTAAACTCGTCCACCTAAATATGCAATAAAAAAAGACATCGAACACAAAAGTATCAAAAAGTTTGTTTGAAATGACATTTTTACGATAAATGATTATTATTTCTTGAAAACAACCGCTGTTAACTATCACGAAAACGTCTCATAACGAACAAAGTCTCAGAAAGTATTTTTAATAGGACGAAAGCGAACAAGGCAAAGTTACAAGAATATCGAAAACGAATTTGTTTTTTCGAGTATTCAATATTACTTCGTAATGAGAAAAGTTGTAAACGCATTGCGAAAATTCATCTAACTTTCTTTCGAAGTCTCATGGCTCAACTTTTTAAATTATCTGTAAAAGAGTATTTGATATATTCTTTCACGTTCAATCCATTGAAATCAAACCAAATTAAAAAAAAATAATCAACTTAAATAAAAGTACATACTTGTTGAACGTCAAAAAGAACTACCGCCAATTAACAAAAACTAGCCTCCGTCCTGAGAAGAACTGGCAAGAAACTCAGCGGGCATGTCTTTTTTTTTAAATATTAGATAATTAAAAAAAAAATTAGATTTTTTTTAAATATTCTGTTTTACAAGGCTACAATTCTAAGCCACTGGTGTATAAGAAATTTGAAGTTGCCGTGCTCGAAAGGATAAGACGCCCGGTAGTACTCGGGTCGAGTGATGCGAGCTATACCGTTCAAATCCCGCAGACAGATTCAAATTATCAATATATTAATACGTGAAGCAAAAACTTTGTATCCCTTTTTACGAAAATTGCGCGGACGGAGGAGTATGAAATTTTTCACACTTATAGAGAGTATAGAGAAGAAGTGCACAATGCTAATATTTTTTCAATATAATGCCTAAAAGATACATTAAATCAATAAAGAAAACATTACACACACTACATACCATGTATTTGACGAACACACGCATGCATACTATTTATTTATTGTCAAACTTACGTACTTGACGTCTGTTGTCAAATTGAGATTAAATATTGTTTGTCTTTGTTAATTTTTTTTTTGTGTAATCTTGGCGAAATTTGTGATTATAGAAGTATATAAAATACAATCATAATAGTGTACAAACTTTCAATTTCAATTAATTATAGTCAAATTTCGTTTACTGCGGGACCACTAGTTTCTAATAAATACGCACCTAATAAAAATGACGCAAAGGATTTCCACGACGAAGCAATACCGTCGAGTATTAAAAACGAAAATCCTCAAAAAAAACATTAATTTGATTAGGGCTCACTGCAAGTACGCTCGATTAGGTATTTATTACCTTCTTGCCTATTTCAGCCGACAAACAATCATACGTTCTGGTTTTAAAAGTGGAACATATAACACTAAGACCGCATTCCCCAACGTGAGTATCGGGATTCGCATTCTGATGTCTATGTGGGCTCCAATAACAACTTAACACCAGATTGGCCATGAGTTCGTTCATTCATCTACGCAATGAAAATAAAAAATAATGAAATTCCTCGTATTTTATGAAGCACTAATATAAAAATTATTCGCGCGCTACTTGTCGTGGGCTGATAGTGCTAAGTCAAAAATCTTTCGCGAAATAATGACAGCAAAGGTGAGCAATATTAAGTCAGTCAGATAAACCAGCGAATTCATAGACCATATTACTTTGCGAGCAGAGCACTAACTCCTATTACGTGTAACAGATATTTAATTTCCTTTGGTCAATTTAATTGATTTTCCATCGCCTTTCTCGCTTAGTGAGTAGGGACGCTGAATATCGAACTCACTGGATCCGAATCCAGATCGAAGTTTTGTGGGAGATTTTGCTTGTTCCTTTCTGGCATGTCGATGTTTTCGAGGAAGCCTAAAGATGGTACGTCTTAAGATGAGCACCCGCAATGTGGCCTTTATTGGCTCTTCTAAATGTTTACCTATTCTAAACGTCTTAACATCTTAACTAAATTAAGGTACAAACGAGCTGTGTGCTTATTGCGAGCTTTTAACGTTCTCGATAACGTAAAAGTTAACTCAAATGTGTATGTAGTTGCAACAGCGCCCCTAGCGGCAAACAGAGGCAAACGTTGTCTGAAAACTGATTGTCTCAAAGTGTACGTGGCGTTCACATTACGAAGCAATGCTCTCCAACACAAGTCCAAAGCTAAGAACATACTATTAACATTAAAGTTAAAAACCAAAGCATCATGTCACTAATTGAAAAGCCATAAAAACTAATTTCGTAATAAACACTTGAATATTCCGTGTCGTAAATTATGTTAGTTATAAAGGCAGCTTTCTTTACAAGTTACCGTGAAAGTAAAGTACGATTTCATCAGTACGACATGGGTTTGTTTACGAGCCAACAAACCGTGTTAAGTATTTATCTATTTTGTAACAAGATTCGTGCGTATGTTGTGTCGGGCCGGGAAACTAGCGTTTTTAAGTTTTGATTTATTTATTCAACGTGTTCTCAGTGAGTGGTTTGCTTCGTGCTGTGACGCATGTTATTGTAGACTCTGTCGTCTGTGTCTGGCAGCCACAGCATACGAGTGTACTTAGTTTAGGACTATTAATTGTATAATGTCGGATCAACCCACTTAATGTTTCCAAATAATAAATCTTATAAATATGTAAGC